TATCAGGGCGATATTTTGGAACCTGTTGTCAAGCCTCTGATACACTGTTTGCTGGAAATCAATGGGTTTTCCAGCAGGATTCCGCTCCAGCTCACAAGACCAGGTCAACTCAGCAATGGCTGCAAAAGAACATTCCAGAGTTTATCTCTGCCTCGGATTGGCCATCAGGAAGCCCTGATCTCAACCCACTAGATTATCGACTTTGGTCCTAACTGGAGGGGATTGCATGCCACAGAGCACACATTAATAGAGCACATACTAACTTGGAAAGCCTCATACAATCTCTGGTATGAGCAGTTTAGAGCTTTCCTTAAGAAGTGCTGCGTGCTGCTATTGATGACAGGCCACAGAGATTAGATGCCTGTGTCAAGGCAAAAGGGAGGATTTTGAGTAATTTCTTTTGTTTATACTCTCTATAGGTTTTCATTTTATTTTCTAATAAAGTTTTTTATTATTTTATTGTAACAATATTTATGACAGGACAAGGTATTTTTGTGAGAAAGTTGAAAAGCTAAAGGCCTAGCATTGTGAGTTTTGAAAATTACATCAAAGTGTTCTGTATCTACATTTGGACACATACTTGTTTTACTAATGAGTTATATTATCTACCACTACGCAAAGCTTATGCTTGTTAGGACGCACTGCTATCTGTGATTGATAATGAGAAATGCTTGATTTTCATTAAGTCATCTTTCTCCTTTCATTATCTTATCCCACCTTCCTCTACATTAAGTAATAAGATACAAATGAAAAGTTACCATAGATAAATTAATATATAAATAAAGTATATGATAGTAAGTAAAGATAATGTGTAAAAGATTATGGTACGTGGGATATACTAAAATTTGTAACCATTAAGAGGATAATGAATACTATAACAATTATTCATTACTCTTTATTATTATTTGCCATCGCTTACATATATTTATTTGGTTTCATAATACTTTCATGTATTAAAATAAATTAATATAAAATAGGATTAGAGTAGCTACGTAATTCTAGTCATAATTTTTAATTAGCTCAATTTACTTATCTGATATTATAGTAATTATTATTATCAAACGTTTTTGGTATCATGATAAAAAAAAAGAAATTACTATGCTATGAATAGCTTTATTGAACTATCGGCAACCTTTATACCTTCTCATCACTTATACTCAGTGTTTTCTGATTAATTTTTTTCTCTCTGATATTCAATTCTATTTTTTATTTTATTTTTTTTTAATGAATCAAAAACATGTGCTTGCTATAATTTATTTTTAAATGGCAGATAGCCTTCTGGGGAATTGAAAATATTTATGAAAATTTTCCATCTTCTTTGCATGTATTTGGCATAAATTTTAGCATGTACGATAGTTTGATTATTTTTATTTTTAATATATTTGCATTGTTAATCTGTTATATAATTTTAAATTAATTTATTTTATCACTGTCATTTTTTTTAGAATTTTTTTATAAATATATATGTGTGCAGTATATTTCTAAATATACACACATATTTAATTTAATCCATGAATTTTTATTTTATTTATTTATTTTTTATAGCTCTTAATTTATTTATATTTTTATCATTACTGATAAAGGTAGATTTTTTTTTATATGACTAAACTCACTTAAATAAATAGATGATGTTATTCGATTATATACTGTTACTGTAATATCTAAAGCAATCTCTTTGGCTTTGATTTGTAAACGATGAAACAGATCATAGCTTTATTTATTAATTTATTTTTCAAATTTTGTATATTGTTTACAAATATATCTTGGTCTTAAAGGTCAGTCAGTACTCGGTCAATTTTAGGTAATCGTTCTTTTAGACCGGGGTCTCCAATCCTGTATCCTTTTGCATTATTTTTCCCATGTAACATCATGTGTGTCTTGGCAGCCAGTAACTGAATTACTCAGTGCTACTGTTCGGGTTTTTATTAAATATTTAATTTTTTTTAACTATCTAACTAATAGTTTTTTTATAAAATAGTCATTTATTGATATCATTACATTTTAACAATATTTTCTACTCAATCATATAATTTTTTCCCTCTTGAAAAAAACATTTATCCATACCTGTCAAAAAATACTACCATTTTCAGATCTGCAAAGTTATCATTTTTAATTCCCTTATAGTTTAAAAACGTCTCATTCGATCTGGCCCAAAGTTTGAGAAAATGTGGAGAATTGAACAAAAATTACCTATTACAAATTTCATTGAATTCCATTCTACAATCAAAATTAATATAAATAACTGTTAAGAATAATGATTATGAAATGTGGAAGGTATTGATCATATGGAAAAAAAGGTTAAGTTCATAATATTTTCGTTTATTCAAAAACTTAATTTAATGCCTTTACATAATCGAGGCTGAAAGAGCAAGTTATCATAGACAGATAGAAATCATTACTTCTTTGATCACCAAGTCATTTCTAACCTAAATCTCCTGCATGTAAATATTTATATTTGTTATTTACCACATATCATTATTATCCTATATTTTTAATCATCTACCTTTATCAGAAGTCTTTAAAATTTTAGATATGTATATGTTTATTATATTTATTTTAAATTTGTATTATTATTTTTTTAATCATTTATTTATTTTGATATATTTATTTATTTGTTTTGTATGAAGTGAAACAAGTTATAATTTTCAAACATAAGATTATTTATTCATCACTGCTGCACACTTTTCATCGTATTGCTAATGCTCAAATTAATATATGTAATTAATAAATTTTTGGACATTTTTGATATTTATCGGATTGTTGATGCTTCACAATTAACTGGTCATCAATTTTTTTTTTTTTAAGTACAGTTATATAATCATAATTATTTTACATATCTATATATTCTGAAAGAGAGGAGGAGAATAAGGCAATTGAGGCTACTCAATGAATAAGGCACGGTCTAGCAACTAGGACACATGAGGTCTTTCCTTACTGAGTACGAAGTCCAAGACTCTACATTGGTTTTTGAGATACAGATACAGATATTGGCAGATCCAAGGGGGGCTTTCTATTTTGGGGGAGCTTGGTGGGTTTAAGCCTTCCCTCCCCACCAACGTAGAAAAATAATTTTGTTTTTCATTTGTTTCTGTGAATAATCTGAGGTAATTATCAATCAAATTATCTTCTCTTTTAAAATTATAGGAAAAAAAAAATTAAAAACCTGGGCTTGAAATGAAATTTAACCTTTAATCGATTTTGGGCTGAATCTTTATTTTCAGTATTTGTTGTTATTTCAGGGAGTGGGGTGGCTCAATGGTAAGGCGCTCAGCTTCCAATGCCCTAGGTCCCAGGTTCAAATCCCAGCTTTAAGGCAGATAAATTATTTATTCTGTTTTATAGGCCGTAGGTCGATCCTGGAGTCGGGAGACCCTCCTCTATAAAGTGGATGCCCTTAATTATATAATTGATTAAGGAGAAAGCCTGGTGATTGAGCATGAATCAAATCACTTCCTTGCAAAACCCAGGACCCTTCATGGATTATACTGGTGCAAAACCTTTTTTTTTTTTTTAAGTTCTGTTGATTTCCAAAAAAATCAGTTTAAAAATTACTTTTATTCATAATTTGAGAAGGAGCTAATCAGGGGGTGCGGTCAAATAAATACTAAATTAAAATATAGTAATTATTTAATTTTTGCCGACATTTCGACCCACTTTGCAGGTCATCTTCAGGGCTACAAAAGATACAAAACATGTTGAAAATAAAAAAATAAATATAAATAGATATAAAATAAGAAGAAGTTGTCAGATACAGAAATAAAAAGATGATATCAGAGATATAGTGGGTGACAATGTACATGATATTTTAACCACATTGTCAACCACTATATCTCTAATATCATCTTTTTATTTCTGTATCTGACAACTTCTTCTTATTTTATATCTACTTATATTTATTTTTTATTTTCAACATGTTTAGTATCTTTTGTAGCCCTGAAGACGACCTGCAAAGTGGGTCGAAACGTCGGCAAAAATTAAATAATTACTATATTTTAATTTAGTATTTATTTGACCGCACCCCCCGATTAACTCCTTTTCATATTATATCAACGGTCAACCATCTCTACATCTTTATTCATAATTATTGAAAAAAACCACACATTAAAATCAAGTAATTTATTTAATATAAATTATAATAATAATAAAAGCCTAATTAATGTTGTTTTCTCATTTTTTTTTTTTTAAACTTGAATAAATAAAAGTTAAACTTTAATCATAAATCTAGAACTTTGTTTGAAAATTTTTTTCTCCAACTCTAATTTTAAACTGAAAACTGTTAACATAGAACTTTAAAAAAAAGTTTAAAACTCCATTAAAAAATTCCCAAAGCATTACTGTTTCTGTAAATAACCTTTTTTTAAAGATTAATTATAATTTAAAAAAAAAATCTTCCTTAAAAAAAATTATATCCTAAATGTACTTGTGGTTATTAATTTAAAAGGTAATCAATTGAATTTTCTAGTCATATATTTTAGGTCCGGTGCCATTTTTTAAAGTTTTTAATAAAATATTAGGCCAAAGGTCACCAAATGCACACGGTTTTTACATCATGTATTATATTTATTCGGCATTTCGGCTTCATGAGCCATTTTCAAGACCCTGCAAACTAATTTTAATTCAGTCGTTATACTCCAAAATACAGCCTTATAAAACACATATTAATCCAACAACAATCAGTCATATAAATTGTCCAAATTCTATTTTATAAGAATTTTTTTTATATAACATAGCATTTTGGTTAACATTAATGTAAAATTTATCATCTCACTTCCATGCACCACTTCATAAAAGTAATCAATTGATTAATTAAAATTAAATACCTGTATTTAATTTCCTCAGATAATTAAACATTAAATAAATTAGTTAAAGCGCTTTTCAAGACAAAAATAAAAAGATAGTACAGCTTTAGTGACAGATCTTATTTTATTTATTTTTAGTGGTAATTTTTAAGGAAAATTCAATTAATTTTATAATTGATTGAGAAAACTGTAGATAAATGTTTAAAAATAATTTGGATTGTATAAATGTCCAAGACTTCTTTGAAAGATAAATATTTCTGTAATTGAAATTTTCCATTTTGTAGAAGTTTTTCTCAATATCCTCTCGAATAATATGCAATAATGAAAGGCTGGCAGCAGTGAATATTGAATGTTTCTCCTTGCCTGACACCCTGCTGACCCCAGAAGGCTCTGTCTACAAAAAAAAAAAAAAGTAATAATAAAGAAAAAAATAATAAATAAATGATTAAAATAAGAAAAAAAAAATCGATTGAAGTAGAATTAAATATGTTGCGGGCTGTGAAGGAACAGTTTAGAGGGTGGGTTGAGAGCTGGGAGGCGCCCGCCCTCTGTTGGGAGGATCCAAAACAGGGCGCTCCCGCCACCCCCCATCCAGGAACAGTCTCCGGACAAGGAGAGGCGGCCGGCCTTCAGGGTAGATATTACATGCTTTTTTTATTTATTTTTTATTCATTTATTTATTTATTTTTCATTTAAATTTAATTTATCATTTTATCATGTCATTTCATCAGAGGCAGTAAATATATTGCTTATTGCTGGATTAATAATAGACAAATATAAATAGAATAAGTATTTAGACATATTCCAGGTCAATAGATTTCTGTCAGAGACCGCTGATTTTCAATTTTTTAATTTCTATTGAAGAGAAGTTGGTCGGGGTGTTGAGTCAAACAAAGTAAAAATAAATAAATTATTTTTATTTTTGCCGACTTTTCGGGCCAAGTTTCAGGCCTTCATCAGGGCTGAATAAAGACAAGATAACATAAATATAAGAAACAAGTAGACGTAAAAGTAATAATATGCACGTAAAAGGTATAGCGTAATTACATATAGGTAGAGTAAACTTAACATTAATAAATATGTGAAATGTTAAGTGAATGATATATAAATAATGGAAGTATAAAGTAACGGTAACAAAGTTATAGGCTGATGAAATAATGGAACATAGGATGTTATAAATTAATGGTAATAAAGTGGAGAAGTAGACACATTTATTAATGTTAAGTTTACTCTACTAGACTATACCTTTTACCTAAATATTACAACTTTTATCTTCTACTAGTTTCTCATATTTATGTTATCTTGTCTTTTCTTAGCCCTGATGAAGACCTGAAAGCTAGGCTGCAATGTAGGTAATAATAGAAATAAATATAATTTATTTATTTTTACTTTGTTCTTTGTTTTTTGAACACACCAACTCCTCTTCAATATATCTATGACAGTCAATTATTAATCCAATATTTTTATTTCTAGTATACATGCGTAAGAACTCTTACATTAAATATATATCCTTCTTCCTAATAATTTTACTTCAAATTATTACAAAAAATTATTTCAAAAATTACATAAACAATTTTGAGGAAGTGTTGTTATTTGTTCCAACGATATATTATTAAGAAAGTCCATATATAACGGTAACAAAGGGACTTATAGAAAAACGATAGAAAAGTTAACAATCTTTTTTTTTTTAATTAATACATATTTACTGCCTCACATTTTGTTTTCAGGGATACTGTTCATCGATATTAGTATTATTTAAGATATTTCTAAACTATTGATGAAAGTTCTCAAAATCAATAATACACAACCCTAGTAATAATAACAAATTTGAATAGTTTATATCACTTGAAAATTGAAATCATATATGTATTATTATCTAAGTCTTATTGAATATTTTCAGTCTGTTTAAGCTCTTCTTTATGTTTACATAATGGTGTGTATTTTATATTATATTAGAGGGACGGGATTGTTCTAGAGATACAATTTCCTTAGCTCTGCCACAAAATTAATTTCAATCCGCCCAGGCTGGATTCGAATCAGCACTGCTAAACTCGAGGATGATAGAGAGGAAACCGCTTTAGTAAGTTCAGCCTCCTACGAGAATTAACAATCATATTTGGTGCCTTCGCATATTTAAAAGTGTTGACAGCTTTGTTTATATTCGTACAAAGATCAAAGTAGATAGCACAATCAAACCGGAATCACAGAGAAGAATTTTAATCATTAAAAAGTCACCTGTTATCAAGAAAAATCAGGGCCACACTTTACAAAATGCTTATCAGGATTTTTTTAATATGACTTAGAAACCTTTTTTTTTATCTAGGGTGCTAACAGTTCAGAGCTGTAAGAGTTGGCGATCAATTCAGATTAAGGTACAATACTAAGTTGTATAAGAGGGGCATGTTATAAGAATAGATGGTGTTATTAAAAAGAAGCCATCTCTTTGGTTATGTCGATAGTTAAAGGAAACGTGGACGACCCCAACTACTGGTACTGCTGGCGGACTGTCAGGCAAGTGGGTCTATTGATCCTTTGCCAATGACCACAACTAAGATGGGCAGATGAGATCGATAAAGATCCTGGCACGCACAGGATAGAAAAAAGTGAAGGGGACATTTTGATGTGGCCAAGAGCCGTTTTGGATTGCAGATCCTGTAATGATGATGATAAACGCACTTGGTATCTGTTCTTCTGGATCATACAAGTGCAGTGGGTAGTAGCAGAATATTTACATTGTCCTTAAAGCATCCAACAAGAAGGAGTATATAAAGATCTTGGAGGTTATGTTACTAGAGCATGTTTTTAAGTATTCCTGCGTCTTCTTTCTGTTGGAATACATAAAGTACATCTAAACATTTTTTTTCAATCTTGATCTGTAATTCATAATTTGCAAGCTTTGAATAATTATTGTTGACTATTCCAAAACCAAGACCAACAATGAAACTCACATCTGAGAATATTTTTTTAATGCTGATCTGCTTTTAAATGTCCATTTGTTTATTTTGATTTTGAGAATTTTTCAATCAAGGACAGTAAATATATTTTAGTGATATTAATTTAATGATATAATGACAAGAAAATAATTTAAATCATCTTTACATATCTATTAACAAGAAAAACTATAGTTGGAGAATAGTGCCTCGGAACGTAAACTGTGTGCTAAGAATGAAGAGGCAAATATGAAATTTTTAATGCCTAGTCTTTTTGTAACCTTATTATAATTTCCCAAAAATAAGGAGAGGTCTGAATAAGTGTGTCACTGATTTCAATCCAATTTTTTTTTTTTTTTTTTTTTTTTTTGTGGTTATGTCTTTTCAGAATGCAACATACCTGGTCCTATGCATCTAATTTTACTCTATAATACCTGACCGGTTTAGAAACATATTTGCCTCATAGCTTATAATATTTTGTCTTTCTAGAGCCTTAGAACAAATACTTATTCTTTTTAAATAAGGAGTTGGTAAGAGGTACAGTAAATATTTAATAATATATATTGTAATGGTGTATAGTAATATATATTGAACCGACCAACTCCTCAAATTATTATCGCAATCAAGCATCTCCAATTGAAAAGTTAGATAATTAACTTCTTTTGGCGTGCTTTGCACTTTTTTTTGTGGGCATTGAATTAGATTGAGCCTTCCTGCTCAGATGTTTTTGAACTCATTGAAATGTTTTTGTATATCGATTAAAATATTTCAGAAACTAAAAATTCGGACCTGCATACAGTAAGTGAGGGAAATTTTCAGTATTTCATCCTCTTTGTAATGAGTCAGGAGTATCCATCCCTCTCAAGGTTTTTGGTGCAAGAACCTTCTTCCCTTTCCCTCCCAAGATATTTTATTGCTTAAAAAAAGGGAAAGTAGAATTAGAAAAATCGTAAATCAGATACAATTACACTTGCTGCTGTCTGTTCCATGTTTTCTCCTTGCCTCTTATTTTGAAATTTTCATTCTTAAAATTCATGATTCTGTTGAAATGTGTCCCCCTTAAAAATAAAAAAAACTTGTCAAAATATAGCTCCCAAAATTTTGATGGGGCCCATCTGGGCACCTCTATAATGAGCTATAAATTAAAATTGTATTTTGACGTGATGCCGAGTTAAAGAGCTGGAAAGAGAAAAATAGTGCCGAAAAACAAATAATAATGAATTTTGTTGAAAATATGAATTAAAATATCTCAGAAACTAAAGATCTGACCTGCATACTGTAAGCAAGGGACATTTTGAGCATTTCATCAACTTTGTAATGAGCAATAAATCAAAATTGTATTTTGATATGACGCCGAGTTAGAGAGTCAGAAAGGGAAAAATATAATTCCAAAAATGACTGATTTGAACATTTGGACTAAAATATCTCAAAATTTTAATACCTTGGGGAATTAAGAAACCAATTATGGCAGAAACCAGAGTATGATATAAGTGACGATCAGTCAGGCAGAGCAAAGTGTACTAGAGTAATTTATACACAATTATTGTTGTATATACATAAGTATTATTGTATATGTTGGAAATGTTATTACTTTCTTAATATAGAACAAAGAAAATGTATATTGCCTATTATTGATCTCGCCTTGTTGATGTTTTCACTCGTGTGGTCTAAAGAAGTTTTTGTTTTTTATAAAAATTCCTATCTGAGAGTTTTATAATACACTAAAAACTGATCTGACTTGATTTTTTAAACCAAAAATTTATTTATTTTCTTACTGGTAGCAAAGTTAGATTTTGTGATTTCTGATAGATTTGAACTCATTTAATACAATCGACTATATTTTTTTTCTTGGCTCCTAAGGCCTAGTGAAATTAATCCTGGCACATGTTTCCAATATTTTTTTAATTTAGAATAAAAAAAAAGAAAATTTGATTGAAATCAGTGACCTACTGTTTGTGACGTCTTCTTGTAACCATTTTTGGGAGAATCACTCAAACACTATATATACACCCTAGTGTATATCTACTTTCTAGATGGTTTGTTTTTAATTTGTCATTATTATACATGGCAATGTCTTCTGCCATAATTATTGCTAACAATATATCTTGTAAATATGTATTTTTTTTTTAAAAATGCCTGACTTTTGAACAGTATCTCTAGAAAAAAAAATCCCTCCTCATCTAACATTTCTTTTGTTTCTATGTTTCTTCTTTTTTTTTTCTTTGCAGCCATCTTGTTATATTTTGTTTATATCATAAATTTAATTTTCAATTATCAGTTCAAATATGATTTATTATTATTTCTTATCAGTTGAAAAATATTAGTGGCAGTACAGACCCCTTTTTATAAAATTATTGACATCCATGTTAAACTTTGTGAATGTCTTCATCTCATCGAAACTTGCAACTTTTTTTTGGACCAAAATTCCCCGAAAAAGCCCATTTTCTCATTAAATCAATTAATTAAATGAGGTACTACCAACTTATGAATGTCCACTTGAATTGTAAGATGATTTGATTACAAAATCAAGAAAAAGGGTAGCCTACAAAATATTGGGCCGTTTGGCCTATATAATCTCATTATTTTTACAGATGGAGATAAAGACAATGCCAAACGGTCCAATATTTTTGTAGGCTACCTTTTTTCTCGATTTTGTGATTAAACCATAAACAGTTCAACCATCAACGCTATCTCCTTCCATTCAAAACCCGTCAACTCCTGGTTTCCTCTCTTGTTTTTTCCCACTTCGACTATGGATTTATGGTGTATGGTGAACTCTAGGAAGAACTTGAAGCCAAACTTAAATGCCTGATGAATTGCTCGATACGTTTTGTCTTCGAAATCTCAAGATATACGCATATTACAGAGTATTACACCAAGTTGAAGTGGCTCTATCCGTCCTACCGCCGTCAGTAATTCCTTGCTATCTTTCTATACCCAGCCATTAAAAGCCAGTGACCCTCTTATATTCTTCAAAGCCTACGATTCAAATCCTCCATTCAATCCACTCCCACCAGATTCCATACTTCTGACCTCTATCCTCCTCCTCACTGAACTGCTGCCTTTGATAAATCCTTTGTAATTCAAGCCGTCTCCTTTTGGAATTCCTATCCCTTCCGATATCCGACATACACAATCAGTTTCCTCATTTAAATCTCTCCTTTTTAAGTACCTACTTCTTTTCCAATCTGACTGATCACGAAATGTACATAAGAGAACTTCTTAAGGTCCCCCAGAAACCATGTTGATGTTGTTTACTTATGTTATTTTATTTTATTTTGTGTATTATATTTATTTTTTGTTTTGTTCTTTTTTCTTCCTATTTTTTTATTCTTAATTAGATATTATTTTGTAAATATTTAATTTAATGGATGGCCATACAGGCATTGTCTCAGTATTTATACTTTTTCTAAAGGGACAAAAGTCCCAGGATAATAAAAATATTTTCATTTCAAATTATCTTATAAGTGGAAACCAAATGAGTGTTTATGAGTTTTTATTACCTAATTAAATAGACAAAGTTTACCGATCTTCAGATTGAAAACTCTTTATTTCCAGGAAATTTCAGAAAATAAAAATATGTAAGTTACGATAAAATGAAGACATTCATAAAGTTTTGGACAGAGTTAATAATTTGATAAAAAGAGGTTTTACCACATACCATATAATTTATCATGGTTTATTTATGTTTTTGTTTTAATCAACACAAAGTTGAACATATTTTAATTTTAGAGAAATATTACCATTTTTATTCTAATTATTCTAGAATACTGCATTTATTACCAAATAGAATAGTTTTTATTTCAACTTGATTTATTTAAGGAGGCAATGTGTCATCATATTTACTTACAACTCACTCACTAGCGTTCGTTTGATTAATAATGATGATTTTTTTAATGTCGCCTGATATTTTCATGTAAAGTAATACTTATGGCATAGGACTGTGATTAACTTCCTTTTTTACTGAAATGTGCGTGTGAATGTGTTTGTGTGTGAGGGTATTTGCATTGGTATTTTCTTGACAAAAATCTTTTTATTTTTCATGCTTGCTTAATTGGTGGATGGCAGACTTATAGTACAGTTCGAAAGAAGGTAAATAATAATAATGTTGTTATTGTGATTATAACAAAAAAAAAATTACTAAAATAATTCACAATGATTGAAGTAAATATTTTCGATTGAATTTCTTTATTGTTGGTTATTATAATAATTTTTGTTATAATAATAAAGAATAAAGGCTGTTTGTGATTGCATGTTCATTTTTTTTTATTTTTTTTTGGAAATATCACTTTAGAAACATAATTATTCATGTTAGTATTATTTTATAAGAAGTTTCCTTGCACAAAGTTTAGAAATTTAATTTTTTCAAGTAAAAAATATTTAAAAACTATCTAACTCACATTATGTGATTAGCTTGTTGCACTGAAAAATATTCCTCCAGTTTAATGTTAGGTAATAAGACACAGCTATTCCTGAAATTAAACAAAGCCATTATTTTACTAACTCAAAACCAATTTGTTTGGTCCTGACGAGCATTGATTTGTAGTTCTCTTGGTCGATATTAATAATTTATTGGTTAAATAATTTTTTTCAATACATAAAATTCAAGATATGGTTTTAAATTTTAAAGTAATTTAATGTTTAACATTACAGGATAAAGTTATTTATAATATACATTTTTATTTATATTTTCAGTTTTCTTCATGGAGGAGCTCACAAGTAATTGTCCTATTTATATATTTTAGGGATTGATACTTGTTTTTTCTTGTTTGTAGAGTGATTTCTAATGTAAGGAGTTTAGTCATACTTTTAACTCTTGATAACTCAAATTTCAAGAGAACAAAAATAGAATGTAGTATATAGTTGTAGATCGAATAGAATATAGTTGGTATAAAGAAATAAATTTAGTGTTTAGATGTTAGATTTTAAATTTGTTGGTACATGTTGATTTTTAAATATCGACTCTTAATCAGATTATCTTAGTCTCGTTATCGTTATCTCAGATTATCTTAAATGAAGATAATCTGTATCATAGATTAAGAAAAGAAGCCCTTCAAGTGTGAGTAGTTCACTCATTAGCTGAGGGAAATCGCTCTCTATCAAAACATAGAGCACATTAACCTGTTTTCTTCAGCAGTTCGGCCCTCAGTGTCTCAAAGGCTGCACAGCTGATCAGCAGCATCTGGTGTTCCACAATTGGGGCATAGGATATAGATATTCTCCTTCTGTTGAAAGACCTTACTTAAAATTCCCAAGCCCAGTGAGTTTACCCCAAGCTAGTGAGACCTATTAATTAGCTTTTGTACGTTTCACTCCTAAATGGGAACCATTTATAGCGGGAAAAGAGTTGTCCCTTTTGGTATCATTAACCACTGCCGATTCCATTTGTCAAGAATCTACTGTTGCAGGATCTTCTTCCTCTTATGATGTTCTTGATTGATCCTCAAACAGGTTCTCCGGTATACCTGCTGAGCATTCTCTTACCATCTGAGGCCTTAACATGTTATTCCTGAAACTGAAAATCATGAGGTACTCCTGAACTTCCTCATGAGACACTATCACGTAACCTGTAGCAGAACTATCCACTGAATCAGTGCCAATCTGCTCTTCTTCTGATGCTAGATATTCAGGTTTTAGCTAGGAAACATGTATCTCAGAATACCCAGGATTACACCTTACAAATGTTTATAGTCTGTATGTGAGGTCACTTTAGTTCTTAAATAATCCTAGTGAGGCATCGCATTAAAGTATCTTCCAATCCTGATTCCAATGTCACTTAGACATATCCTTGCTCCATTGAAACACAATTTTAATCAGGTCAGTCCTGACTCTCAAGAAAACAGTGTCTTAACAGCATCTTCAGCTTCCTTCTCTTGCACCATCTTCCAAGTAGTTTGATGTACCGTTTCACTTCTTCTTCCAATCTGGTTCTGCTGTTCAAGATACAGTAACTAGATCATCCACAAAGGCTGTGGTAGGGTACCACTCTTCTTTGAGCATTCCCTGCAACTCTTAAAAGACCAGTTTCCTCAGAGTGGAATATCTTCTACTTCGTAGAGGTTATCTTTTATTCGTAATGTCCTGTCCTGACAATAACTTCTTATCAGAGAGTACAATGTACTATGAGCTCGTACTTCTGTAGCTGGAGCACATTTGGCAATAAAACACTATCAAAGGCAGCGGTTATGTCAAACAAGAGTAGCATAACATATTTCTCCACAATTTTTTTTTTTTTTTTCAATGGATAGAATACAAACATATTTAAATTTCAAATATCCTTATTTTCCTGTTTCTTTGGGCTTGTAGGCGAGCTAAATAATAATAAGGCCTAGTGCACCCAAAGGTTCGATGCCGATTCCATCAATCAATGCTCACTTTCTTCCATCCACTGGGCGCTGTCTAAACCTTTAAAAAAAATTTGAAAAAAATAATAAGAATATAAATTTATAAATCAATAAAGGAACAGAATAAAAATAATAAAACCAAAATATAAATTTTCAGATAATAATAAATAAGTTTCTAAGAAAAAGTTCTTTTCACCAAACAGAATGCACCTCTTTTTTTTTTTTTTTTTAAATAGACCATACATTAATATTTTATCTATATTTAAATGTTTTTTTTATACTTTTATGATTTTTCATGCAAAGTATAAATAACCTCCTGCTATAGGGGAAAGGGCGATATCAGAATTAATCACAATCCTTCTTCCCTATTATAATTCACCGATTCTAATGTTAGAATAAAAAAATATTATATATTTATACTCGAGCGATGAAACATATCATATATTTCAGTAGTTGTCTATTTATTATTACACACTTTAAAAAAAAAAAAAAAAAAAATGCAGTATTAACAACAAAAATAATAATTATCTCCTTATCACAAAAAAAAATCAATTAAATATAAAAAAGGTTAACAATTAAATTATACTTAATAAATATTGTTAAAAAATGAAATAAAAAACAAAACTAAAGGAGAGCACAATATCTGCATAATATTATATAACAAAATACTTCATAAAATCATCAATGCTCCTTGATTTATTTCAAATCTGACGATACACACAGACATGGACATACCAAAAATAAAATCCTACATTCATAAGTACACAACATTTCATTCTTCTTCTCTCAATCATCTAAACCCACTCATCCTGTCTCTTTCTTCCTCCCTTTTATCTAGTGAGTCTCATCAACGACTAAGAAGGCAGTGGCCTTGAGATCTCCTGCTGACAATATAAACAAGAATCAAGAATAAAAGAAGACGGAATAAATGGCAACACATTTGCTTGATGTGTTCCGACGCTGTGGCAAATTTAATGTAAAATAAATAATTAAAAAATGAGAGCAAAGAATATCTTTACAAAAAAATGACATTAAAATAAAAATGTATAAATCGTACATATATTGTTAATTAACATTATCAATTAAATTTATATGTGAGAAAAAAAAACGAAATTTTAAAATAAAATGAACTTCTTAAAATATTGATTAATTTGGTTGAATGTTAAATGCTAATCCAGTCTCTAAATGAATAAATGAAAAGGTACAATCTTTGTTTTCGTGGCTTTGAGCTAATCAGGCGGTTAGAGGTTGCGTTGGCGATGTTTTCTCACATATGTTGATAGACCAAGCCCTGGTGAGATTGGCTCTATGTGCTAGGTCTTCAATTATAAGATATCACAATAAAATGTCCTTTTAACAATTATTGATGAACGAGAAGTGAGGCTAAATATTTATAGCCGGCTCTTCTTTTTCTAACAAATGACGCCCTCCCGCAAACACTGCAGCAATAAATGTTGTAACAAATCATTTTACTTGAAAACATTGTTATTTATATCCATTATATCCTCTGGGTTAACATTTTTTTTTTCTTAAATACAAACATTAAAGTATAATTAATAAAAATATAATTCTGGCCTTAAACCTGCAGTGGTAAATAATTTTTGAAACTTTGGATTAGAGGTTTTCTGTAATGTTATTAAACTTAAAATTCAAATAAAACCCTCAATTTAAGTTATTTTCATCCCTTTTAACATTTTCAAAATTTGCTGTATTGAATAAAAAAAAAAATATAATTTACATAAAATAGTAAAAAAAAATCTATGACCAAACCAAAAATTAGTTATACATGAACATTCAAGTTAAATTAATTTTTTTTTTTGGACAAGTTTTCTTGAGGAATTGAGGAGAAAACCATGTTATCAGAAATTTGTGTTATCAAGAGTGGATTGTTTATATTAGTGCACCTGTAGCAGTTTTTATCCAATTGTTTCAATAAATTTCGTTGTATTGTTTTTTATTCTGTAGTGTTGTTAATTAGTTTCTTGTATTTATTTTTTGTAGATAAAATCACTAAATTATATTATATTTCATTGTTGTATAGATTATTTGTAAATGTCTTGCACGTTTTGGTAAGTAGTTATACAGTTAGCAGCTATTTCTTTCTGTTGCATTTGTAACGTAGTTTACAAACATCATAAATTTTTGTAGAGATTGACAAAAGATGGGCTGGAAATTCATTCTTCTATGAAATTTGTTCAAAAGCCTTACTGTATTTTTAAAAATTCTTGTGCATGAAATTATTTTATTAAAAAGATATAGAATAAATCTTAAATACTATCTTAGATTGTATTGCTTAGTTTTTCATTAAAAATCTTCATTAATCAAAATCGTGATACTTGAATGTAACTGATTCTACCTTTAATTTCTTTTATGAATTTGAAATGTAAGATGTTTAAATTACTTTTTGTTTTCAGATGTAAATGGATCATTTTTAAAAATAAATGTACCATCTGAATATTCAATATAGTTTGTCGTACTAAAATTTAATGTGAAAAATAAAGCTTATAACTATTCACATGTCTTCTAGCACCATCCTAGAAATATATTATAAGGGATATTCATATTTTTTTATATTTTCAATCTGTATGATATAAATATAAATTGACTGTGTGAAATTCATGAGTTGTAAAGATTGTGAAATTTTTCAATGAATATTACATTGTTCTCTTATAGTCTATATTTACATTAAAAAAATATATAAACATACAAAACTACAATAATTAACCCTTAATTTAAAAATAGAAAAGGAATCACAGAGGATAAAATTTTATTTTAAAAATACTCTGGTAATCATGAGAGATTAACGGAATACTTAGAATGTTTTTGATGTTTTAAAAATTGCATCATTTAGCCGTTTAGTTTAGAAGTTCAGCTCTAGCTCGAGATAAACACTTGACCTTTGTGGTTAAAATATAAAATTCTTTGCGTTTTATCAAATTGAAGGAATATTGTGATAACAGTCATGACGTTCAAGAGGTTATCAATACCTATTTACTGATGGACATATCTTAATCTGTTTATCTTAAAAAAAAAAATAAATAGAAGCTTAAAGAGCAAAATCTGATTGTGTACTGTAAATAGTCTTTCAGAATATATGGCATTTTTTCTAGATATTTTTATAAAGATATGGGTGTTAAAAAAAAAATTGGCAGTCTTGGGGTTTGCTTCTCTTTACAATTATATGTAGGCCAAAAATTTGTATTGTGTTTATACTAATTTTAAACTATCAACAAAGATGAACTCAAGAGATCTATCAAAATTTTGATGAGTTTGTACTGTTGAGAGCAATAAATATTTGAAATTGTCGAACAACGAATGTATTTTTTTTTTTTAATTTCTTTTAGTCAATCTCTGAGGGCTATCCTAAATGCCATAATTCATTTACCGAAGCCGCCAAGAACTAAATTTTAACTAACTCAGGTGGGAATCAAGCCCATAACGTTCAGAACCAGGCCCCAATGTACTCTACTATCATGTCCTCATAATTCTATGCATTATCCGCTATCATTAAAAACACTTTTTACCATTATTTTCTTCTCTCAGTAAATTTATTTGTATACATTTAAGGCAACAATATATCTTTTAAGATATGTCTGTCATTTGTAAATAAGCATGGTCATCAGAACTCGCCTACTTAAGACATTTCACCTTAATTTTGCTCAAAATGATATTGAAAGCCATTTTTGAATAGCGATGTGAAACTAGTACCAAAATAATTTTAAATATTTATTTAGTTTATTGTATATCCCATCTTCTCAGAAATATATTTATGAAATGTTCCATTTTTTCATACTCAATAATTTTATTTTTTAATTAATAAAATACATTTAATTGATAGCAAAATACAGTATAACAAAATACATCTTTTGGAAGATATTGTATTTTTCCTGTTGTAGGGGTCACTATCACGAGCGTTCGGATTGAGGCAGCAGAGGGAGGTGACGTCACCAGTCCACGAAGCTGTTTCGCCTTCCTCTTCCGAGAGCAGCTACGGCGGAAGACCGGAGTCTCCGCAGTCAGCCATCGTCAGGAGGAGGCCGGCACACAGGCATAGGCGTGTCAAGTCCATAGGGGACATAGACGCTATCACTGTTACTCCTGTTTAATTAGAGAAATAACAATCTATTTCACCCAATTATACAATTTTGTAAATTATAACTGAGAAGAAGATGTTTTAGTACTGATAATCGTTTCTTTATCTGTGTGGCCAGTTTATAATAAGTGATCGTTATTTTGAAGACAGCTAAGAAAATTTAGTCTTATTGTAACAACGACTAGCAGTGGTCAAGAATGTAAATACTGCCTCTTTGATATGCATTTGAAATAAGTCCAACTCTTGTCTTCTAGATCAGATTTCCATCACTCTGACTCTGAATTATTAATTTCTTTGACTAATTAATGTGTATTTGTTAGGGTTTCTATTTAATAATATATTGTGTGATCTCAGTAATCTAAACTAATTGATACGGAGGAGATTTTCCAGGGGTAATATTATGTATCAACTGTAAGAAAACAACATGCCATGACTAGTCGATCTCCAATTCAGTGCACGCAAGCATAGCTGTACCTAGAAATGTTTTGATAATATCGATATTTATTGACATCTTTATTTTATTTTTTATATCAAGGATTTGATATTATCATGATATCAAAACGAAAATGCTAATATCGGATTTTAAAATATTTTTATTTTGTTGCCTTTATTTAATCAACTAATGTTATTTAATTATATTCAGTAATAAGCATTTAACCAATATCTTATTCATAAATAAATTACTATTTTAAAAAAAGTACATGCAAACCTAATGATTTTCTAAATTTATTACTTTTCTAAAATTCTTTTGTTCACTAAAATTTTGGTAATTCCCTGCTTATTTTAGAGTATAAAACTCAATTTCTTCACTTAACTTTTAATAAATAAGAACGATTACCTATGAAACTACCATTGGAATTGGAGTAGACTTCGAGGGAGAGAAAGGATAGGAGGGAAATCGCTCCCTCAATAAAAATAAGAGAGGGCAAGAAGATCATTTTACCTTCAAGTTTTTAAAAACTTTTAGATGTTGCTCATACCTTAATGTAAATGGCCACGTTTTGCCTTCATAAAGAACCGTAGGTAGGATAGAATAGAATAGGGAATTGAACTTTATTCTGAGACTAAGTCCCCTTAGAATAACACAATAATGAACAAATACAAAAGAAAATACATATCTGTCCAAAAACTAACTTAATAAAGATTCTACCAATAAATAAAGTAATTTAAATAATAGTATGTAAAACACTATAAAAAATAAATGAAAATAAAATCAATTTTTGTGATAAAACCTAAACGAAAGGCTAACTAATAAAAACTTAATAATAATAAACTGTAATAATATGTACAGTGATTTAAATAATAATATAATAATAGGATAATGGTAGGAGGCCTGAGCTAAGTAGTTTTTCACAGAAAAATAACAAGCAGTTCCTGCCTTTAATCTAACCTTAATCTCCTTTTCAGTTTCGTTTTTCCTAGTTATTATAGACCCTAGATATCTAAACTTCCCTATGTGTTCAAACATATTACCTTCTATATCGATATCACCGCCATTATCGCCGCTTTTGCAGCTAACCTCATATTTTGTCTTATCCGTGCTTATTTCTAACCCAAGTTCTTTAATGACTTTTAATAACGTCGTATTTAGTTTTATGGTTTCCGTGTCTTCGCTTAACAGGATCAAATCATCCGTATAGCAGGGGTGTTGTCCCGCCCAGATCCAACGCTTTTTCGGTACGCATTACCTCTCTAATATCATGTTCTAACGAACCAAATGATTTAGGGATATGAACAAAACTTTTCTTGAAAACATCCCTCAAGTATTTTTTTAGATTACTGATATTGCACTATATTGTTTTTTAGTTTCAAATTTTTTAACCAAAGTTTTCAGAGGTTACTAAGCTTTGATATTTTGCTAAAGTAAAAAAACATAAGTATAATGAAGACAGTTATTCTTTTCATATTTTTTATAATGAACAAAGCAGGCCAGGCTGAAGTATCTTATGTAAGAGCTACGATTTCTGTATAGTTTGTTTTTTGTTTTTTTATTTTCCTTCTTCCAATTTCAGCTTGGATTACTTGTTTATTTCCGATAAACATTTCAGCCTCTGAGCATCATAGCGATGCTGAGAGGGAATAAAAATATAATATGAACTGCTGAATAAATAATTTTTCTGCTAAAAATTGATGTTGATCAAATATGACAAAAAATAGCCATTAAATTATGATTCCGTAATTATTAAAAATAAATAAAAAGTACTAGTTCTAAATTGCTACTTCAAGGCAGTGGCTAGTTTCAGGATCACTTCAAGCATACGGTGCATAAAATCCCAAAATAACTCAAATGTATCTCCAAGAGTAAAAAGACAGAACATAAGAAAACTTTATAGTCGTATATTTAAAGTTAGATTAGATAAACTCATGAAGATGCTGGCTCTTAATAAATTATTGGGGGAGTTCTGATACTAGAATACTTTTGGTATTCCGTATACAGTGTCCCCGAAGTGATCTTAAAACCAAACACTGCCTTGGAGTAGTGATTTGGAACTAAAGTTCAACCACAATCAGTTGGGAATCCAAGTTGCACAAAGTTGAAAATCACACTTTGTATTTTCCCTAACTATCCGATGATTGTGCTGACTCTCAAGTAACATCAAGGAGAGTTAGAATGATACATAGTACATATCGTCGATTTATTGCAGAAAGTCACTAAGTGCATTTTTGATGTAGATTAACTTTCAAAAATGTTTTTATTAATTTCAATTTTATTAATCGATAAAAAAAAATATTGTAAGAGCATAAAAATGAAACAAACCTTTCAATACAATAAGTACAACAAGGGCACAATTTTCTGATTCAATAAAGGAAAAAAAAATTGTTCAAACTTCTTGATTAGTTAAAGTCATGAAATGTCTATTAATGACTTTTTGCAATAAACCGTCGATATAGTGGTCCTGTCATCAGTTTATTATATGTAACATAATAAGTTCTTTTAGATGTATGGTTTATTGACGACCCTTTTGTGAGTTATTTTTTAAAAAAAATACATTTTCTTCTGTAATCTGCTACATCGCTATTTATGGCATATGGAGGAGGGAGGATTGGGGTCTTGCTTAGATTAGGCCCGCCAGTTATTTTATCTAGTAACAGTTACTTGTTGATAAATTAAAAAATATGGGTTAAAGAAACATATGATTTATTTAATAGGAACTTTTTATACATAACCAAAAACATTAACATATTTTTAATGAGTTACTCCAGGTACCTCTGGAGGCCAAAATTCTACTATGTCCTTAAGGATTTCCTTAGGTAGAATTCCTCTTTCTTCAAAGAAAATCCTGGCTTGCTCCTCTTCTTTGCATAAATAGTAAACTTCAAAAATATTCATTGTGTTATCACTTTATAATCGCAATTACACAAAAAATACTAAACCAAAAATATTTAAAAATTTGATTTTATTTCTATATCAATGGTATCAAGTTTCATAACAACTGTTACTAAATATCATTAAAAAACCACTGGCGGGCCTAATCTAAACAAGATCCGAAGGTTGTCCTAAAGGCAAATCCAATTATTTGGTGGGCCAGATCCCAATCAAATTAATGTACTCAACTAATACAATCAAAATAATGTACCACGAATTCTATTAAAGCACTTTAACCATGCCATGAGTCACTGAATGATGTGGCAGAGGTCTGTTTGTGCCTAACGCCAATACACCTTTTTCCACCAATTATGTCCATTTTCTATGGAACCATTTCAAATATTTTAAAAAGAGAAATGTATTCTCCAGATGTTTTATTTCAAGGCGTTGTTTGTTCTTGTTTGTTGTTGATTACAAACAATGTTTTGATTTGATTTTCAATATTAAATTTTTTTCTTTTTTAAATTGACTACTGTTTTATTGCCTAAGTCAATTTTTCGAAATTATGTTTTTCTGTTTCATTATCCTCTGACTATCCAGGTTTAATAAAAAAACAAACAATTATGATGAAATTAAGCCAGATGCTGATTCTCGGTGACCAAAAAAATTATCTCATGTTAAAGTTGTCAGTCCACCATATTTGGATACCATTTTGGGGCAGTGCGATCCCTTTTTTTTTGTGGGAACATTGACTTTTTTTTTCTAATAAATTGTTACAAGAAACAAGATATGCAATTTATAAAGGCATGAAAGGGGTTCGCGGTGAGAGAGCCTGACCTACGGCTAAAGCTTATTCTGACTAGAGTGAGAAGCAGAGGCATTCCATGTTTTCATCACAAAATAAATATCAACCCGCCATGATTTTTGTTTGCCCACCCCTCCCTCTTACGATTTTTTTCCCAAGCTTAGAGTGAGGGCAATAGATTAATGCCAAGATTAAAAGCTTCCTCCGCCATCGGGATGCGAACTCGTAATTATTTCATCAAGTAAACTTTGGTTTATTAGATTGGCGGGCAAAGCATGTTAGCCTGCTTGGCCACCTCACTCTCCATTTTGAGTAAATTGTCAAATATTGGAAAGCCAGTGAAACTTTGACTCCTTCCCTCTCTAGTGCCAATTGTATACATAAATTAGAAGATTATGATAATATCTATCAATATCATTATATGTTTATAAGTAATGTTGGTGAGTTAGTGAAGAACAAAATATAATTTTTAACTTTGTGGCGCATTAACTTCCTGGCTGCTAACTAATCGTGGTTGAGCTATATTACCAAAAATTTATTTTCTTTATTTAATATATAAAAATAACATTGAAATTTTCTCAGTTCGTCACTCTCTGAGTAATCCAAATTTCACTTATTAAACACATAACTGTGAGAAAATTGAATATTTCTTTTTATGTCATTAATTCTAATTCTGTATTATTCGCTAAATATGATTCAGAAATGTGACAACTTTTTTAAGTTGTACCTATGAAATAATGACGAGTTATATAAATATGAGTAAATAAACGATAGATATTTTGTGTACCTGGTATCGATTACAATGCGATGTGCAATAGAAGTGAGCGAACCAATTTCGAATGAGGGAAGAAAATGAAACCTGATGTTATAAGTGAATGTTTGACCACACCAACTGTCTTTTTTCTTTTTTTTCCAAAGAATATAACTAAGATTAGTTGACTTATTGTTTTGTTGTTTGTCAAGTCATTTTTACTATTTAATTTAATTTGTGTATATTTTTTTTTTTTTTTTGTGTAAATGTTTTCATTGTAATTTTTGTGATATTTTTGTATAGAATAAAACCAATAAATGTTTTAATTAGGATATTTTCAATAAATTATAGATTCGATGGAAGCAAATAATGTTTATCTATTTATCCTGTTTAAACCACTATAAAAAAAAATTAAATGTTAATAACTATTTTTTTTTAATTTTACTAACTTAAACATATCAAAAAAATATTGGTATATCAGGAGTGTTCAACCTCCTAGATCTTATCTCTCAGGTTTTGATTCTGAGTCCGCTGAATTTCATAATTTTTCAATTGTTTCAGTTTAGGCTAAACTGGTTCATGGACTGTGAATGCTAAGGATCAAATAAGCAACATATTCTATTTAATAAATAATATATTTATGAATGAAAAATTTTTTTTTTAATTTATAATATCTATTAGTATAAAATATGGTATAATATACTGTTTATTAGGACTGTCTTTATGGTAGCTCCAAACTTATACTGTCCCCTCAATCGAAGATGATTTTCATCTGGTATATGCTTCTGTAACCACTACGTGTGCACATTAAGATTAAATTTTGTTCGGTGTCTGTCTATATTCAAATCGATGTGACAGGCATATCACTTAGTAGCGTTCATTTTGTTTTACTATCTTGTTCATATTGAATTTATAATTTTAGAAAGAAACTATGAAGAAGGTAAATGAATCTGTGACGCAAATATTCAAATTTTAACATTACAAAAGGGCAGACAGAATATTCGTGAAATAGAACTTGCTTGAAGTAATTCAATAAAAAACTGTCTTCCTTGTTTTGACTTGAGTTCTCATTCTTTTCTCATCATCCCTTCCGGCTTTGAAGTGAATCGTAGACTCTCATGAATTCGGCATTAATAATATCCGATTTAACATTCATAAAATCACATTTATCAAATTTCCCGCAAATATTATTCAGTTAGAATCTCAAAATTTGTTAATTTATAAAAAAATTGAAATTATACATACTGCAGGAGAAAATCTTGAAAAAATCAGTAGGAAAATTGGAAAAATTTTTACTCTGTAAAAGAAAACTCTGCAAATTATTTCTAAATAGTTTATCCTTTTCCAACAATTATACATCTAAAGTAACATTACCTTTCTAGTGACAAATCAAAAGAAATAAAAAGTCAATTCCAATTATTTGCCTAAACATTTTTTCCATCATTAGTAATTTCTTAAAAAAAAATATCATTACTTCAGTAACACAATCAAAAATCAAAATCCAAAACAAAGGATTTGCAGTAGAACATAAAAAACATCTAGAGACCAAAAATGGTAAAATATAACCATGTTTTACAGAAAAAGATATTAAAAACTATCTCTTAAAGTATTCTTGTTCGTGTAATTATATTTAATAGGACTTCAAGAACCACTTAAACACCATTTCATATGGGTAAGTAATTTCTTTATTTTTTTCAAATTAATTATCGTTACATGTATATGAAACAAAAATCTTTCGGGCTGAAGCCCCCCCCCAAAAATTAAATCCTGGATCCGCTAGTGCTTTGCTCCTAATTGTCCGATTTTGTTTTAGAGGAAATTCCGTAAAGTTTTAAAAAACCATATCAACAAAAAAGTGTATACTTTATGAATTATTAAGAATCTAATTTTCCCATCCCTCGTAACTTTTTTTCTAGTTTCTTTTCGTTGAAGAATGTCATATAGATAAATTTAAATGGCATCAAGAATAAGACTTTAGCGAAGTTTCATTGAAATCGGTACAGTCTATAGCAACTCATGTTTTTCCGTCGCCATCTTGAAAAGAAAAGGCGGATAGAAATGTCAATGAAGGAGGATCATCCTCGGGTGACCTCTAATTTTAAAGCCAAATTTGAAAAAAAAAATTAGTGCAGTAGTTTCGGAGAAAATGCTCGGACGGCGGAGGGACAAAAAAATCGTATTCGCTTTTCGAATTCTGCGCATCCTGAACATACAATGGTTCATTATTGAAAATAATAAACCAAAATTCAAGGTATGACGCTCTTATAAAAAAATATAACGACATAAATAATAATGTAGAGAACCAGGAGTGGTAACTTCTTACAAAATAATAGTCTTGCATCGGTTCATGTTGAACACTCTTTTTCTCAATTAAAAGACGTATTAAGTGAAAGGAGAAACAATTTTTCGGATACGAATTTTGAAATATATAACATTGTAACTCAATAAATGAATTTTATAATTATGGATGTACATATATTATTTTTTTCATTAAAATTAAATATCTGAAATCAATTGGCCTGGTTTATATAATATATATTTCATAGCTTTAATCTTTTCAAGTTGCTCTACATTACTTCATTCCTTGTATGTGCCAGCCAATAACCAATTTAAATGACATTTAAATAAACATATTTAATTATTTGTCGGTAATTATTGAGACCTTTTCGTATTTTTTTTTTTTTTTTTTGTGTGTGAATTATCTAATAGTGCTTTGATTTCGATGAAACTACTTTCATTTTTTAGGCAATTTAAATATCTTTGAAATATTTTATCACAATATCCCCAAAAAAGTGTATACTTTTCCAGTTATTCGGAATTTATTTTTAACATCCCTCCTAACTTTTTTTCCAGCTTCTTTTCGTTGAAGTATGTTATATAGATAAATTTAAAGCTCGTCGAGAAAATGACTTTAGCGAAGTTTCATTGAAATCGGTACATTCCTTTAGGAGCTACAGTCTATAGCAACGCAGGTTTTTCTGCATTTTTATTTTTTTCTCCTTTATTAACTTATCAAATTCTTTCAAATGTTATATGTAGAATTTCTTCGTAACTCTGAATAATGCGAAATGGTTAACTTTTTAAAATAAACCATATTAAAGGTACTTTAGAGGAAGACATATATGAACATTGGACATTTAAGCCCTGTAAAGTGATATCAACGGGAATAAGACCTAAATGATATTAAATACCACTTAATTATACAATGATACAACGAGTTTAATCAAAATCGTTAAAGCCGTTTTTGAGAAAATTGTAAAAATGTGTTTGTGTTCATATAAAGTGGCACTTCCAGTTAGCCGATTTTAACGAAAAAGTTGCTGTCGCATCCGGCCCATATACAAACCTTAAGTACTCAATATCAGTTTCGTACTACTTTTCGTTTATGAGCTAGGCTGTTAACACACACACACACACACACAGACCATTTGCCGACACTTGGTTATTTGAACTCAAAACATGTATTTCCGTTTAAAACTGAGATTCGAAAATTTCACGATCGCAATACTTACCCTTACTATATATTACATATATACGTAAGTGAAAGTAAAAAACGTCTGCCAAGTAAGGTCAGTATAGCTTCCTCACCGTTTTCATATGCTAAAAAATATCTATAGTAAAAGATGTAAAAATTTTCTTATGAGAATAAAATCTCTGGAAAATTTTATAAACACATAACAATATTGTAACCTAACTCTCACTCCATATGATCAGTGCCTTCCACATTTCGCATCCATTATATTGTTAATAATTATTTATATTAATTTTAATTATTAAATGGAATTAAATGAAATTGGTACTAAGTAATTTCTATACAGTTCACCAAATTTCCTACAAATTTGGGTCAAATCGAATGCGCCGTTTTCAAACTATAGGCATATCAAATAACACATTTACTGATCTCAAAGCGGAAGTATTTTTATTTGGAATATTAGGTAGAATTTGACAAAATTGATGCCTATTTAATTTTACGTTTACTAATCCCTAAATTCGCACAAAATTTGACCCAAATCGAACTTGCGGTTTTAGAGATATGGACGTGTCAAGGAAAACACGTTTGTGCATATATAAGAGAAAGCAATGGACAGAATTCAATAAAATTGACCCTACATTATTTTTTAGAAATACCTACTTTTATCCAACTATGAGCTAAATCGAACGAGCTGTTTATGAAATATTGGCATATCTACAAAAATGCGATTGCGCGTGCATAAGCGGAAGTGCTGGTTAGAATTTAATAAAATTTATATGGAACCATTTAGACACCAACCCGCACAATCCCTGAACATTTTTTGAAAATCTGATAAATGGTAGTAGGTGATATGCTCGTTACATCGATTTGACTACAGACAGACGGACACCAAACTTTGAGGATCAAAGTCAAATGAAATTTAAATAAACATATTTAATTATTTGTCGGTAATTATTGAGACCTTTTCGTATTTTAATTTTTGATATCAACGGGGATAAGACCTAAATGATATTAAAGACCACTTAATTATACAATGATACACCGAGTTTAATCAAAATCGTTAGAGCCGTTTTTGAGAAAATTGTAAAAAGTTTGCAAGTACACCAAGGATGATGTCTGAAACGTAAAACTCGAGTAATAATTTTCAATTCAGAGCACATATTTTTTTTTTTTACCTAATATTTAATAAAGAACCTAAATTTACTTTGAGCAGGTTCAAATTCTACAGAAAGTAAAAACACAAGCAAGAGAGAAATTACAGAGAACATAAATTATACTATTAATTTGAAAAGGGCAAATAGGTAAGAATTATGTGGTGATAATAAGCAACATTAATTTATAAATTTATGGAAATGCAAAAATAATGAGTTTGGTGCTGGTTTAGGTATATTTTTAAAAATAATTTATGTTAAATTTTAAATATAAAAATGGTGTATTGAATTATAAAACTGAATCTCAAAAATAAAAATTATGGTTTTTTAAAAGAGTGAATTATTAATAGGGCTCTGATTGTATTTATTTTAATACAATTGTTATGCATGACTGCATAACAGCATACTACTGCAAGTGAAACAGTTTAAAATATATTATCTTTGGTGACGTCTTATCAAGGGTGTCCGTCTTCCGGCGGTCTTCTTGGTGGTGGTCCTCTTCTCCGTGCTCCGATGTTGAAGTGGGCTGGACCCACTGCCTCCTTCCAGTCATAAATGAATTTCTTGAACCGAGGGAAGTTCTCCTTACTTACCAACTGAGGAAGTTCATCCTCTGTTAGGACGTAAATTCCTGCGGTTCTCATCATCGTTGCCCTTATTCCTTCAAATGCAGTGCAGGCCGTGACCACGTGCTCGACAGTCTCCAGAACTCCACAAGTGGGGCATTGGGGATCTATGTCCTGGC